GTGTGGCCTTTCCCCACTCCCTCTTCCTCCTGTTTAGCCAGGTACGACATGCCTGCTTCCTCTTTACCTTTTGCCATAATTGTAAGTTTCCTGAAGCCTCCCCAGCCATGATTTTCATGCATGTTAAATTCTCTATTATGATATTTGCCATTACAAAGTGATTGGCAAAGTACGTATCAAATGAAGTCTCCCATCACAGTGAATGAACACTGTCTTAACGGTGCATTCCATTTAAGTATCTTGCTAAAGGACTTCAATTTTGCTATAAATCCTTCTTATAAATGTATTATATTTTCAGAGGAGGTTTATAAATGCTTCTTATAAATGAATTAAATTTTCAAAAGAGGTTTATGCACTAAGTAAAAACCGGAATTTGATTATCTCAAATAACTATACCAAAACTAATGGAAGGTGTGTTGCTGTTGGTTAATTCCAGCTTGTGATTCTGCAATAAATATTTCTGGAATTGTGATGGGCTGAAACCTCCAACTTTTATACTCCCCTTTTCGTCCCCCAAAGCTATATGGTGCATAATTATTGTGTTTAAAATTTAAATTACTATTCCATAATTCTATGAAATTTTGTATGATAATTAGAGGTATGTCTAGAGCTAAGTAATTTCAAATCTAACTATCAGGTTTGAGAACCTGAATGAGGCAAGCCCAAATGACAATGACTTATGTCTCTGCATCCCCAAATTTCCAGAATATATCCTCTTATGTCTCTGCCGCCTCAAATACCCAGGAGGTGGGCTTAAGCAATGTCAAACTGAAATTATCTTTTCTGTTTCAGTACTGAATTGGAAGGTCTTATATTTCAAGAAATTTTTTATTTTACTATGCAGTTTTTTATGTACCTCTGACTGTTAGGCACTTTTGATTAAGAATAAATCTAGTTGATGATTTATAATGAAGAAAATATTTATAATATTTTGCTGACCACACAGCCTCACGGGTCTCTCTAAGACTTTTTAAAGAAAGAAGATGGCAGTATAGATCATTGGTTATCAGTCTGGATAAACATAAGGATGATCTCAGATATTTTTGAACAGTGCTGAAACAAAGGTATCTATGAACAGAGATTCTTACTTGGTTAGATATGAATACTACCTTGGTTTTAGGATTTTAAAAACTATTCTTATATACAGTTAGTGTTAAAAAACAGTGATCCAATGACTATACAGTAAATATGTCTTTTTAGATTGGTTCTCATTATCCTTAGTCCAAAACTGAAGAATTTTATTTCATAATTGCTTACTTTAATTTTGATAAATGCTAAGGTTTGAATGCTTGCTCCCTCAAAAACTCATGTTGGAATGTAATTGCCATTTAACAGAATTAAGACACGGGACTTTCAGAGGTGATTAAGTCATAAGTGCTCTGCTCTCAATAATGAATTAATTTCAATGTAATGAGTATTGGATTATTTTTGTGGGAGAGGGCTCCTTGTAAAGGGATAATTTTGCCCTGATTTTCTTGTTCTGTCTCACCCTCTCTTTGTCCTTTTACTGAATGATGCCTTCTGTCATATCATGTCACAGCAAAAAGACCCTTCCAAGATGCTCGTTCCTTATCTTGGACTTTTCAGCCTCCAAAATTGTGAGAAATAAGTTCTGTTCATTATAAATTTCCCAGTCTGTGGTATTGTGTTATAGCAGCACAAAACAGACTAAGACAACAGACAATCATAACAATGAAAAATGCTGAAATTGCTTAGCAATATAATATCATTGCCGAACTTTCTTTTTCTCAAGGAGCACAACTAGGTTTTTTAAGCAGAAATATTTCTGTAGCTAACCCTGTTATTAAGAGCCACTATGATTCACCAAAAGAGTCTAACACTTTCCGGGGAAATGGTGTTTGCAGAAGTCTTTATAATCTTTTTTTTTTTTTTTTTCTTGATCTCTTTATGCTAAATTTAACGTACCCAATGAAAATACAATATCAAGTACCATGAATGATGAATCTTTTTACTATCCATTCCACATAGCTGATCCTCTTAAAAAGTTGTAAATAATTTTTCTTAATCTTAGAGCTTTTAGGAAATAAAACTCAAATTATCATTTGTCTTACTACTTGGACTGTGTATTTAGCTCACTATTTTTTAATGTCTGGTCCATTTATTACTTAATATATTGTAATATATAAGTGCGTCATATTCTGATCAGGCTTTTAAGTTACTTATACATCTGAGAGCTCTTTTTACAATTGTTTTAAGCTCTATAGGGTCTAATAATATAAAAACAATTAATAACATTTTATAGATATAGCACATATGATGACCATATATATGATAAATATTTTTCTTCTAGCAATATTGATACTCTAGTCAAGTTTTTTCCGACTCCATGGAACTATGGACTTTACTATATTATTCCTTGCTACATCCTTTGAGGAAATGTTGTTGAAAAAATGTTGAGTGGGCAGACTACATATTTTTCTTTTTCAACTTTTTCTATAAACCATAGCATGTGTCTATGTAACCTTATTTTCACCAGACTTAACTGTAAGCGATAAAGTAATGGGTGACTGGGCAATTACATTTAGTCTTCATTTAAGCACAATGAATTAAATACCATTTTACACTACATTTTGCTTAAGGGAGAGTGGAATAAGTAGTATTGTTCCTAAATTTCTATATTGGATTTTCTTCCATAAAGCCACTGCTATGGTTTGAATGTTTGTTTCCTCCCAAACACGTGTTGGAATTTAACTGACATTGTTAACAGTATGATTAGGTGGGACCTTCCAGAGATGATTGGGTCATGAGGGCTCTGGCTTTACGGGTGGAATTAAATCTGTTAAAAAAGAGTGAGTTTGGCCCCCTTTCTCTCTTGCTTTCCTGTCTTCCACTATGTGTAAAGATGGAGCAAGAAGGCTCTCATCAAAGGACACAATTTGATTTTGGTCTTCCCAGCCTCCAGAACCATGATAAATAAGTTTGTGTTCATTATAAATTAATTAGACTTTGGTATTCTGTTGTAGCCGGACAAAACAGATTAAGATAACCATTAAACATCATTTTTCCTCAGATACAGTGTCAATGAAGCACTATTTTTAATATTTCCACATATATAATACCATTTTCCGAAGACATATTTAGGAAAAATTCTAATAATTTCTTGTTTTAGGATTTAAGAAACATAAAATCATCTCAATGTAGCTAAAAAGCAGTAAGTGCTTTGATTAAGTTAAAAAATTAATAAAAGAAAGAGAAGATTGAACTCTCAGAATGTCTTCCTTTTCCCATTATTTTCTTTTTTAAAAACAAGGAGCTGGCCCTTTTAAAAGAAAAGGTAATTTTAAAAAATCAAAACAAAACTCAGTAGTAGTTATATTCGTTCCATAATACATCTGAGATTAGGTTTTAGGTGTAAGCAGTAGCTCCTCCTTTATTTAATATGTATATTATATTTAAGACATTACTTTTAAAAAAGTATTTTTAATGTAATTTCTATAACAACCTGGTCTTTAGAATTGTGTGCGTGTGTGCGTGTGTGTGTGTGTGCGCACGTGTGCTTGGTTTTACTCTATGGATTCAACTAATAATGAGAGTAGCACCATTTATTGATATTCTGTTATATTCTATTTCAAACATTATGTACCAGACATTTCAGAAATGCTACCTCATTTAATCTTTAAACAATCCTATAATACAGATATAAACATCCCCTGAAGTCTCTTCTGATATGTGGCTTTTTCGCTCCTGTAATTTGGCAAACAGGAGGGAGTGGCACCAGCGACTTTTTCGCTTCTGTGGTTTGGTGAGTGGGAGAGAAGTTTACAGCTCTTTTACACCCACCTGCCACAGCTTGGCAGGTAGTTCAGAGGCATCGCAACTCTTTCTGTCTCGCTGTTGGGCTAACAGGAGGGAGTGGAGTCCGATGGCTTCTTCTTTCACATTGTTGGGGGAGCAGGAGGGACGGTCACAACTCTTTTACTCCCGCCACCAGCAGCTCAGTAAGTTCCAGGTTCTCGTCCCGCAACAAAATAATAAGATATGTGGACACCAGAAAGTGAGTAAGGCAGAAGAGAATTTTGAGCGACAGATGGAAAACTCTCAGCTGCCAGAGGGGACGCTGAAAGCGGGTAGCCATCTGTGAGGCTGATTTCAGGGTTTTTTTTTTTTTTTATGGGTTTAGAATGGGAACATGCATGCTGATTGGTCCATGGGTGTATTGGAAAAAGCACCATTCGACTGGTTAAAGGCATCATTCAGAAGGAATTAATTGAGAGAGAGAGAGAGAGTGGTCAGGACAGGGCTAGTTCTCACTTTGCCCATTTAGAGCTCATGCCGTTAGGATAAACGTTTTTAGCCTTGTGCATCCATAATACCTACCATTTTATTGAAAATGTTGTCCCATGGGATGCATTATTAATACTAATTGTGTAAACTCGATCCAGCAATATGGCTTTTCAGGTCCTTCATGTTCTCATGTCCAACAGTTTATCTTCATGACAACTTTTAGTTTCCTACTCTTTACTTTAGCAACTGCAATTGAAGGACTAAGGAATAATAAATTCAGACCCGTTAAACCTCACTTCCTAGCAACTTTCTCTTATGTGCCTTCCTGATTTTTTTTTCTCTGCCATTTTGGTCCTCAAGTCCATTTATGCCTTTAATTTCATCTAGATATCTCTACCCTCCTGTGATAGATTTTTCTAACACTAAGGGTGATTAACCATCACAGTTTGCTTGAGACTAGGGGTTTCTAGAAACTCAGGACTTTTGTGTTAAGACTGAGACACTCCTGGCAAAAACCAGAGATGTTAATCATGTTACTTCAATCACTGTAGCCCCGAAGTACTCTTGTTCTGGTTCCGTCAGCCTGGTAAAATTATATCCTAATTCACCAGAGAAAATCACTCAGCTTGTTAAACTGGCACCACTGGAAAATACAGTTTATTTTTTTCTTTACATTGCCTGAGAATACAGTGTCATTTATGTCACCAGCACTTTCCTTGGTTTGTGATTCTTCATTATTGTTCTTACACTTTCAGTCACTTAACTGCCACACTGTCCTCCTTGTGCTCCCCTAAAAAAAGAAATAGAAACAATTTAACATAGTCATTAAATTTATTGCCAAATAGCCTACATTTTCACCTCTATTACCTCCATTAGCATTTAAAATTAACACCCATTTAAATGAAAGAGAAATTACTTCTTATTCAAAGTTAATCTCTTCGTTTTTAGTCTAAGTTAGTTTGATTCCGCCTTTCTCAACCTTCCATTTGGCGACCAAATCTAATCTATTCTTGCCATAGACAGACCTGAATCCCTTCCAATTTTATCTACCTCCAGTGCCAACACCCATCTCTTAACTTGACCATTAGCTTCATAACTTGACCTCAGCTGCTTCATAACTAATTATCTTTCTCATATATATATATATATATATATATATATATATATATATACTTTATAATTGATATATGACATTAAACTTAAGTGATATTTGAAAAATGCAAACTGATCATCTCTCTTCTTGAATCAAAATGATTTAGAAACATTTCATTGTGCTTAACATAAAACTTCAACCATTAACATGACCTGCAAAATCCTAAATCATCTAGCCTGAGATTTTCTGTTCTATTTATTTTCTTCTCTTTCTTCTTTGTGCTCCAGATAAACTAAATTTTTCTTGTATTTCTGGGCACAAGCATGCTGCTATTTTGCTTACAGGTTTTCCGTACATAGTTACCATTTCACCAGTCCCTTTTAAGCACCTAAGTGCTATTCACTCTTTAGATTTTATTTTATATATCATCTTTGAAGAATCATTTCTCAGTGTCTTAGACTAGTTAGGAGCTTCTGTAATTGTTCTCACGGCATGCACCTGTCAAAGTCTATCTTCCCTAATTGACCATGAATTCTCCAAGGAAGCTTATCTTTCCTTTTTACAATCATATGCCTTAATGCTTGGGACTGGATGAGCAGTATACATTTGTAAAGAAGGTAAATAAGTAATTGAACTTAATTTTAAAAATTCTTCTTTGGTATCTAGTTATGTTTATTATCATATATACATTAGCCAAATTGTTGTAACCATTTCACAATATATACATATATCAGAGCATTATGTAGGACACTGTAAATATATACGATTTTTATTGTCAAAAAATAAAAAGTATTCATGAAATAAGGAATGTTATTTACCATATATTTGGAAATCCTAAAACTTTGTATGCAGCAATACAAATATTTACTAAATACACAAAAATATTTTAGTGGTTTTTAAATGCAATATCTTAAAATGTTTATAATATTGGATCATTTAAAGGATCAATTATTTCTAAAAAAAGTAGTTTATTGAAAGATTCTTTTAACTTTATTTAACTTCTTTTTAACTTTTATTACAGGTTCAGGGGTCCATGTGCAGGTTGGTTATACAGATAGACTGTGTCATGAGTGTTTTGTGTACAGATTAGTTTGTCACATAGGTGATAAGTATAGTACCCAATAGGTAGCTTTTCAATTTTCACCTTCCTCAGAGCCTCCATCTTCAAGTAGGTCCTGGTGTCTGTTGTCCCATTCTTTGTGTCCATGTGTGCTCAATGTTTAGCTCCCGTTTATAAGTAAGGACATGCAACAATTGATTTTCTGTTTCTGCATTAGTTTGCTTAGGATAATGGCTTACAGCTCCATCTAAGTTGCCGCAAAAACATGATCTCATTCTTTTTCATGACTGCATAGTATTCTGTGGTGTATATGTACCACATTTTCTTTATTCAGTCTACCATTCATGGGCATCTAAGTAGATTCCAGGTCTTTGCTACTGTGAATATTGCTGTGATGAACATATGCATGCATGTGTGTTTATGATAGAACAATTCATGTTCGTTTGGGTATATATCCAATAATGAGATTTCTGGGTTGAATGGCAATTCTAACTTCTTCAAGGAATTACCACACTGCTTTCCACAATGGCTGAACTAATTTACATTCCCCAAAATGGTGTGTAAGCATTTCCTTGTCTCCACAACCTCACCATTATCTGTTATTTTTGGACATTTTGATAATGGCCATTCTAACTAGTGTGAGATGGTATCTCACTGTGGTTTTGATTTTCATGTCTCTGATGATTAGTGATGCTGAGCAATTTTTCCTATGCTTGTTGGCAATATGAATGTTTTCTGATGAAAAGTGTCTGTTCATGTTCTTTGCCCACTTTTTAATGTGCTTGTTTGTTTTTTGCTTGTTAATTTAAGAAAGTTACAGATTTTGGATATTAGACCTTGTCAGATGCATAGTATGCAAATATTTTCTCTCATTCTATAGGTTGTCTTTTTACTTTGCTGTTAGTTTCTTTTGCAGTGATGAAGCTCTTTAGCTTAATTAGGTCCCATTTGTCAATTTTCATTTTTGCTGCAATTGCTTTTGGCATCTTCATCATGAAACCTTTGCCAGGTTCTATGTCCAGAATGGTATTTCCTAGGTTAACCTGCAGGGTTTTTATAGTTTAGGTTTTACAATTAAGTCTATAATCCACCTTGAGTTGATTTTTGTATATAGTATAAAGGGATCCAGTTTTACTCTTCTGCAAATGGCTAGTCAGTTATTCCAGCACCATTGAAAAGAGTTAGGTTTAGACGTCCTTTCTCCATTGCTTATTTTTGTCAGCTTTATTGAAGATCAGGTGGTTGTAAGTGTGCTAGATTATTTCTGGACTCTCTATTCTCTTCCCTTTGTCTATATGTCTCTTTTTGTACCAGTACCATACTGTTTTGGTTACTGCATCCTTGTAGTACAGTTTGAAGTCAAGTAGTATGATGCCTCCAGCTTTGTTCTTTTTGGTCAGGATTGTCCTGGCAATTCAGTCTCTTTTTTGGCTCCATATGAATTTTAAGATTTTTTTTTTCTAATTCTGTGAAGAAGGTCATTGGCAGTTTAATAGAAGTAGCATTGGATATGTAAATTGCTTTGGGTAGTATAACCATTTTAACAAAATTAATTCTATCTATGAGCATGTAAATGATTTTCCATTTGTTTGTGTCAGTCTCTGATTTATTGGAGCACTGTCTTATAATTTTCAATTTTCATTGTAGAAGTTTGTTTTTTCTTACCTCCCTGGCTACCTATACATTTAAATATTTTATTCTTTATTTTCTGACTATTGTGAATGGGACTATGTTCTTGCTTTGGCTGTCAGCATGGATGTTGTTGAAGTATAGAAATTCTACTGACATATATACATTGATTTTGTATCCTGTAACTTTGCTGAAGTTATTTATCAATCTAGGAGCATTCGGGCAGAAACTATGTGGATTTCTAGGTATAGAATCATCACATCATCTGCAAACAGAGAGAATTTGACATGCTCTCTTCCTGCTTTTATGCCTTTTATTCTTTCTCTTGCCTGATTGGTCTGTCTAGGACTTCTAATACTATGTTAAATAGGAGTGGTGAGAGTGGATAGTCTTATCTTGCTCTAGTTCTCAAGGGAATGCTTCCAGCTTTTGCTTATTCATTATGATGTTGGCTGTGAGGTTATCATAGATGGCTCTTAGTATTCTGAAGCATGTTTTTGCCTAGCTTGTTGAGGATTTTTAACATAAAGGAATGTTGGATTTTATTGAGTCATTTCTGCATCTATTTAGATGATCGTATGGTTGTTGTCTTTAGATCTGTTCATGTGATATATCATGTTTATTGGTTTGTATATATTGAACCAATTGTGCATCCTAAGGATAAAGCTTACTTGGTTGTGGTGGACTAGCATTTCAATGTGCTGCAGGATTTGGTTTGCTAATACTTAGTTGAAGATTTTTACATCTATATACATCAAAGGTATTGGCCTGAAGCTTTGTTTGTTTGTGTGTGTCTCTACAAGGTTTTTGTTCATGATGATGTTGGCCTCATAGAATAAATTAGAGAGGAGTTCTGCTCTTCAATTTTTTGGAGTAGTTTCAGCAGTAATGGTGTCAAACTCTTTATACTTTTGGTAGAATTCAGCTATGAATCCATCTGGTTCTGGACTTTTTCTACTTGGTAGGTTTTACATTATTGATTCAATTCCTGACCTCATTGTTGGTCTGTTCAGGGATTCTATTGCTATCTGGTTCAAACTTTGGAGGTGGTATGTTTCCAGGAATTTATCCATTTGTTCTAGGTTTTTTTAGTTTGTGTGCATAGAGTTGTTCGTATTAATCACTGGGTTTTTTTGTTGTTGTTGTTGTTGTTTTAATTTCTGTGGGATTGAGGACAATAGGTTTTTTTATTTTTTATTTTTTTAAATTGCATTTTAGGTTTTGGGGTACATGTGAAGAACATGCAAGATTGTTGCATAGGTACACACATGGCAGTGTGATTTGCTGCCTTCCTCCCCATCACCTATATCTGGCATTTCTTTCCACGCTATCACCCCAACTCCCCACCCTTAACTGTCCCTCCTCTATTTCCCTCCGACAGGCCCCAGTGTGTGATGCTCCTCTCCCTGTGTCCATGTGTTCTCATTGTTCAATACCCACCTATAAGTGAGAACATGCAGTGTTTGATTTTCTGTTCTTGTGTCAGTTTGCTGAGAATGATGGTTTCCAGGTTCATCCATGTCCCTGCAAAGGACATGAATTCATCATTCCTGCTGGCTGCATAATATTCCATGGTGTATATGTGCCACATTTTCCCTGTCCAGTCTATCATCGATGGGCATTTGGGTTGATTCCAGGCCTTTGCTATCGTAAACTGTGCTGTAATGAACATTTGTATGCATGTGTCCTTATAGAAGAATGATTTATAATCCTTTGGATATATACCCAGTAATGGGATTGCTGGGTCAAATGGAATTTCTATTTCTAGGTCCTTGAGGAATTGCCACACTGTCTTCCACAATGGTTGAACTAATTTACACTCCCTTTATAGAAACTGAAGTGCTGAGCTGTGAGCTCCGTTGTTCATTCAGAGCTGCTGGGCAGGTACATTTAAGTCTGCTGCAGCAGAACTCATAAATCCCCTCCCCTCCCCAGGTGCTCTGTCCTGGGGATTTTGGGCTTTATTTATAAGTTTCTGTTGTGCTGCTGTCTTTTTTCAGGGCTGCCC